ATAAAATGAACAATACATTTTTATAGCAAAATGACAATCAATGCAACATTAAAAAAAATATGAAAAATACATTTTTATAGTAAAATTGCCATCAGCACATTTTATAAACTATATATCTAAAAAAAAATACCTTTACCCTGAGAGCATAAAATTACATACAAAATATTTAGATTTTAGTATTAAATAACCCATAGAGATTAACTGATGTCCACTTGGCAATAGTTGCAGTATAAACCTCAGTTGGGCTCTGTAGTTGTTGTAGAAACACAAATGTGCCTGAGTGGGTGTCGGCAGTGGGGACTGCCAACAATACCTACTTATAGCAGAATTGCCAGTAATATATTTTATATGTTGTTGAAGCAATAAGATTGTTCAAACTATTTAGATTTCAGCATTAAATAATCCGTAGAGATTGATATGCTACTAAGCAAAATCAGCCAACCAACATGTCTATTTTTTACTATTACTGTTATATATCTTTATTATGATGAACAACATCCAAATTGCATAAATAAAATCTTAAACTGCCAAATAAGTTATTTTAAATATTTTTTTTTTACTTTAAATATAAATAAGCTGAAATTCATATATATTTATCATATTAATAAACATGGATACAATATCTTGACCATGTTTTGAAAATAAAAACATTATATAAATATATAAATACAACAAGCTATTTCTTATTAACAGTTAATATATTTCAACCTTGAAAATGGCTAAATGTATATCCGAAAGTGCTTGGAAAAAAAGAACTATTGAACAGTTTTTGTATAATTTATCATCTGAAAAAAGAAAAAAAAAATTATTAGATCACTTGAGAAATTGTATAAAAAACTAAATCAAAGCACCTTGTCTGGCATATTCAATGAAATGTGTATATTAATATCAGTATACTCTGAAAATTATATCGGCTTACACCTGTATCACATTAGAACACCAGTTCTCATGCACTCACCAAGGTTAAGCAATATCAAGCTGAGTCAGTACTTAGATGGGTGACCACTTAGGAATACCAGGTTATGTAAGCTTGGAGGTGCAGCTGGTGTAATGGATAACAGCTTAGAATTGGAAACCATAGAGCCAAGTTCCACTTCTAGTTGGGTTTCATTATATTCACTTACGTGCAAATACTCTTGGAGAAAATTTGAATCTGTTGGTCCCAATCTTATTTGGGTAATGACTGCAAAACACTTTCCCTTCCCCAATTTATAGGTAAAACCATACAGATGCATGCTGGGATTTCTTCCTGGGCAATAAGATAGGCCACTTCTTGGTCTCATTAGACTCTATCCCAGTCTGCTTTGTCTTGACGCCTCAATCTCCTCCTCTTCTTGTTCTTCTCCTCCTCCTCTTCTTGTTCTTCTCCTCCTCCTCCTCTTCTTGTTCTCCTCCTCCTCCTCTTCTTGTTCTTCTCCTCCTCCTCCTCCTCTTCTTGTTCTTCCTCCTCCTCCTCCTCCTCTTGTTCTTCTCCTCCTCCTCCTCCCTTCTTGTTCTTCTCCTCCTCCTCCTCTTCTTCTTGTTCTCCTCCTCCTCTTCTTCTTGTTCTCCTCCTCCTCCTCTTCTTGTTCTCCTCCTCCTCTTCTTGTTCTCCTCCTCCTCCTCTTCTTGTTCTCCTCCTCCTCTTCTTCTTGTTCTCCTCCTCCTCTTCTTCTTGTTCTCCTCCTCCTCCTCCTCTTCTTCTTGTTCTCCTCCTCCTCCTCCTCTTCTTCTTGTTCTCCTCCTCTTTCCACTTACCATTGTCCACCATAGAAAACCTACACTTGACTATGCAATGATCATAGGATCTTAAACAGTTTTTTTTTTTTTTTCTCTGGATATCTTTACATTCAATTCATGTTTAAAGTCTTTGTGTTGACAGTCAGTAATTTTTTTCTTTAATTGCTTTTTTCATAAGTTCTTCAACCACATTACTTTAATTAAAGAAGTAATTTACTAAGGTGGAAACCTATAGAAAGTGTACTGATTTCTGAAGTAAATTTGTATTCAGGTTTTTAACCTGATATAAAAGAGTCTGTTTTTTTGTTTTCTATTTGTTTTTTCAAACTTATTAATTTCAATTTATTTTAATAAATATAATATTGTTAATAATCACTCGAGCACTACTTGCCAATCTAGTATTGTGCTTAAATTCATAAAGTCTAGGTACTATAGTGAAGAGCTCACCCAAACAATTTTTTTAGTGGGTACACATCTTTGATTTGCTATTAGTAATTCAAACCTTGCTCAATCAAGATGGCCTTTCATAGCCAAACTGGTTGTGACATGTTTCAGCTATAGAAGTAGTTTGCCTAATAGAAAATATTATAAAACTTTGATTCCTTTTGGGTGAGACATTTCTTTCTTTAGTGGAACATATCGATCTAGGATGGTTGTTATTAAATTTTCTGTTTAAGAAAACAAAACAAAAAACCGGAATAACAACTCAAATGCCTGTATCTACTAAAAATAACGTTTATAGTAATAAGAGACAGATTAAAAAATCCATTAAAAAATATTGAAATGTATATAAAGAAAAGTGTTACATATCAAGCAACAAGGGATCTGCCTCAAGTGGATGGCTACTCTCATGGAAATGCTGAGAACAACGATACATATTGGTAATGCAGAACCAATACAAATTAAGTGGATTCCTTTGATCATGGATTTATTTTTATACTAAAATTCACAAAATATAAAGCTTGAGAGCCACTCAAAGTAGAGAGTTACTGTTAAAATGATAATGATGAATAAAGTCATTTCAAGTGAAAGTGTGGATAGACATGATTTAAGAAGTACTGATTCAAGGCCACCTGGTTCTGCAATTGTGGACAACACCCAGTAAATATTTCTTATTTACTATAAACGTTTTTTTTTTTTTTTTTTTGTCAGTGGATACACATCTTTGATTTGTTAATTCAGAACTTGTTTGATGAAGATGGCCTTCTGTAGCCAAACTGGTAGTGCCTCGTTTTGGCTATAGAAGCAGTTTCCCTGATGGAAAATATTATACAACTTTTTTTCATCACTTCTCCAACCACACTAATTAAAGAAGTAATTTACTAAGGTGGAAACTTATAGAAAGTGTACTGATTTCTGAGTTTTCTGCAGTAAATTTGTATTCAGGCTTTTTAACCTGATATAAAAGAGTCTGTTTTCTATTTGTTTTTTCAAACTTATTAATTTCAATTTATTTTAATAAATATAATATTGTTAATAATCATTTGGGCACGACTGGTCAATCTAGTATTGTGCTTAAATTCATAGTCTAGGTACCATAGCAATGAGCTTACCCAAACAATTTTTTTAGTGGATACACATCTTTAATTTGCTAATTCAATCCTTGCTCAATCAAGATGGCCTTTTGTAGCCAAACTGGTAATGACATGTTTCAGCTATAGAAGTAGTTTCCTTGATAGAAAATATTATATAACTTCGATTCCTGTTGGGTGGAACATTTCTTTCTTTAGTAGGACTTATCAATCTAAGCCGGTTGTTATTAATTTTTCTGTTTAAGAAAACAAAAAACCAGAATAGCAATTCAAAAGCATGTATCCACTGAAAGTAATGTTTATAGTAAAAGATAGTCAATATTTGAGGCATGGACGAATGATATTTGGGGGGGGGCATTTTTGTAGATTAGTATTCATAATTTTTGCAGATTAGTATTCATTAGATCTTCCTTTACTCATGACATTTTAACTAACCGAAAAATATATATTTCTTTTCTTTTTTTTTATCATTTTAGACAATCGTGAAATCATTTCCCTTGCTTTTATAGTTATCAGTATTTTGTTTTTATTTACAAATTGTGTTTACATCATTGATAACTGCATGCTATTGGTGATGTCATTTTTCCCAATTTCTAATTGTACACAGTTATCAAGAACATAAGTACAGTTTCAAACTTGTTTGAAACTGTTTAAGAAGTCAGGGATTGATTTGACATTGTATTCATATTATGAACAGGAACCCCCTTTTAAAATGATAAAAAAAAAAAATCTATATTTCAATTCTGACAAATATGGCTAGAGGAAAGTCTAAAGCAGGGGGTTCCCAAACTTTTTTTCTCTGGGCTGCATTTTCAGAATTAAAATTTGCTTGTGCCTCACCAAATTTTATGTGATAAAAAGTACATTTAAAAATAAAAAATCAGATATTGTTAAAGGGAGATAACTGCAAAGTCAGAACATTATCATTGATAACTATCTCTTCCAGTTTGCGGAGCCTGGTTACAATATTCTTAATACTTATAATGCAGATATGTCACAATGATAAAATTGGTCAATAATTGTTTATAACTATTTATACTGCAAATCATGCATACATTTACAAGTGATCCATAATGATATTTTAAATTTCGAGATCATATTTATTTTTGGCATATGAATTTTTTTCAACTGATTCTAAATCTTCACCTCACCTGCTATCCTCTTCCACCACACCTATGAGGCACACCACACTGCTTAAAAACCACTGGTCTAAAGAAATGTTAATCTGCAAAAATTATTCCTGAAATAAATTTTGCTGATTATTTTTTTTTTTTTTTTTTTTTTTTTGCTACAAGCAGACAGGGCAATTTAAGTAATGCCATTTATTGACAGATCATAACATCTATCACAGAGATGAAATTTAAATTTTTATTATTGCAAAATTTTAACACATTAGCAGATAGCTAATAATGTCAACAACTGAGCACAAATAGTTATTAATTAAAAAAAATTATTAATTAATGTATACAAAAACCAGTGCTGGGAGCAGCCTTGCTTTGAAAAACAAGCCATGGCAAACACTCAGCTCCCCATGTCTGACTGCAACCCCACACATGCAGGTAATTTCACTCATTTTTCCACAATATAGCTATTTGTGCTATGTTATACCTAAACAATAATAATACTGAATAATTCTTTTTAAACATTAAAGTATATTTAATCACATCTCCCTGATAGCTATCGCAATCTGTGAAAAATGATTATTGTTAAACTTTATTTTTAATTTTTTTTTTTTTTTTTTTTTTCAAGATTCTGCGAGTCATGCGAAAAATTCTTGGCAAAACTCTGTTTGAGAAGGTGATGAAGCTCTCGTTTTATGGCCATTTTGTCGCAGGGGAAGATCAAAATTCTATTCGTCCTACAGTGGAGAAGAACATGTCCTATGGGGTGAAATCTATTTTGGATTACAGTGTTGAAAAGGATCTTTCAACTGAAGAAGCCAAAAAGGCAGAGATGATGTAAGTAAATTACAAGCCCAAATTCAGTTTAAACACGCTTTTAAATATTACATTTTTTTCTTTTTTAAATTACACTTTCTTCCCTCATCCCCTGATAAAAAAAAAACCCTCTAAATAGTTCATTTTGATAAAACATGATAACTAAGCCTATGACATTGTAAATTAATAGAAACATTCATATGCTAAGTCATCATTGTTTCTAAAGATAAGCATTATGTTTTAAAGATATTTTGAGTGCATTTCTTTTTCTTTTTTTTATAATTGAATTGAATTCACAACATGTAAGGCAGTAAAGCCACTAAGGCACAATGGGTTACTTGGTGGGAGAGAATTAGAAATTATTGAGGGGCAAAAACAATAGGAGAGTAATCAGGAAGACAAGATAGCAATTGGCATTGCAGTTAAATTTTTGATGATCAAACTTGTCTTGAAAGCAAGAAACTGGAAGAGAATTCCACAAGTGAGAAGTGCGAGAAAAGAAACTGTGACTTACAGTTACATCTAGCCAATTCAACTGTAAACTGGTTGGATCTTGTTACTAATCTAGTTCTGCATTTAAATTCATAAAGTCTAGGTACCATAGCAAAGAGCTCATCTGAACAATTTCCATGAAAGTATTTATAAAAAAAAAAAAGGCATAGAGTAAGTGACTGAAATGAAGATGCCAGGTCAGGACTAATAATATTGCTGATTCATCTTTAAATTTTGTTAAGAATCTCTAAATAATTATGCAGAAGCACTGGACCATATGTAGCAGCCATATTCAAGACGTGGACAAATGATAGACTTATAGATATGTAAGATAGATTCTAGAGAGAAAAATTGTCCAGCATGACACAGTTAACCAATTTTCTTAGCAGCCGACCTAGTAATGGATTCAGTGTAGTCTTTCCACTTCATGTCAGCCGAAAATGTTAACCTGAGAAGGCGCAATGTGTCACTCACCTGGAGGTTAGCATCAGCCATGCTGATGGAATGTAGGAAAAGGTCTCTCAGATGATTAATAGAGAGCAGTTTATTTTTGGAGGTATTAAAATTAACAAGCCATTCTTTGCCCCAGCTAACAACAGACTAGGGTTTTTTGGGTTTTTTTTATAAACCACCAATTTGATTTTATTAATCTGATCTGACATTTTGTTTTTTTCTTTTTCCTTAACATCTGAAAATCCTATAAATTGGTGAGTGGGGTGAAAGTTTCTTGGGTTGACTTAATCCTTAATTTTTTTTTTCTCTAAAAAAAAAAAATGAACAAAAAATTAATTAACATTTGCAATCTCAAACCACTTAATTTTCTTTTTCTATTTTGCTTCTTCTTTTACTTTCTTTTCTTTTTAGTTATCATTTTCTTTCTCTTTTTCTTTCTTTTCACTTTTTTCTTCTTTCCTTTCACTTTTTTCTTCTTTCCTTTCACTTTTTTCTTCTTTCCTTTCACTTTTTTCTTCTTTCCTTTCACTTTTTTCTTCTTTCCTTTCACTTTTTTCTTCTTTCTTTTCACTTTTTCTTTCTCCTCCTCCTCTCTCCATTTCTTTTCTCTTCTATTCATAATCCTTATAAGTATATTATTTGCTTGAAATGCCAGAGTTGTTACCATGAATCTTTTCTCTACATGCCCTATTTGCCATCCTCTCTCTACAAATATCCCCCTTGCCACTCAAAATAATACATGAATTCTAGTTCCCATCTTTATTTTACTTTTCCCATCCAGTACAAAAAAGTCCCTATCTTTCTCACAAATGCTTTCTAATCATACTTATTATAAAACCCAGGTTGTGTGTGTGTGTCTGTTCGTTTATATATTGGATCGGATTCCCTACATTTTTCAACCGATTTCAACAAAACTTCACAGGACTACATAAAATTACCTTGCGGTGGTTCTAACAGCGCCAAAAATTGGAAAAACACAATTGTTTTTGCACAAACTCAATTTGAAAACACAATTAAGAGGCATCACTGTTGCGAGAATGAAAGGGGGACAACTCATATCAAGTTATATCTATTATAAAAACTCAGGTTGTGTGTGTGTGTGTGTGTGTGTTCGTTTATATATGGGATCAGATTTCCTACATTTTTCAACCGATTTCAACAAAACTTCTTTTTTTTTTTTTTTTTTTTTTGGCAGGTAGTGTTTCTTATAAGTATGATTCTATTCAATTGGTAGACTCATAACAATTGAAAACAATGTTTTTGTTTGGGTTTGATCAATTCGTAAAAAAAAAAAAAAAAACTAATTAAGACATGCGTGTCCGTCAACCTTAAACAATAATCTTTGTCAATTTTATTTTTCAGTCTTTATGATGGTCGATACTTGATCTATCTCTTACTGTTACATCCCAGGGCAATGCCGGGCTCTACTGCTAGTAGTTAATATGGAGGCATCTCATTCTTATCCTGGCATGAATTTAAAACGTCAAGTTAACACTTAGTGGAAGGGTCAATATTTTGTCTTCCAACTCTTAACATTGAATCAACAAACGTTGCTTGATGAGCTGCAAGTGTCTATTTTTGTCTTTCTTTCTTCTCTTCATGTCAAACTTAAAGAATTTCATTCTTCATTCCATTTCTAAAGAGATCAGTCATTATATGTGTTAAATTATAACCCTCCCCACTTTATGGATGTATGGCAATTCACCCAAAAAATTTCAGTTGCTTCTAATTCATCCCTGACCCCTGTGCTATTATAGTTATTTGAAGATACACATACATTAGCTGACTGAGATTAACATGTGGTTAAGAAAAAAATTTAATTGCCAGTATCTGCAATCTATGACGGACTATGTGTTCCATAATTTCTGATGTTTTAGTTAGTTCCTTTTCTTTCTGCTATGGTGAACCGACTTTAAAGTCTCTACTTGTGTTTGCATCACAGAACCAACCCTCTCACAAGAAGAGTCTTCATAGACAGCACATCATCTTAGATTGGCTACCCTACCAAGGTTAGAGATCCTAGTTTGTCCTACTATTTCACCCATAGCTAGTAAAGGCTATTTGTATAAAGGGATTACAAACCACTATGTCTGGCACCAATTCTATTTCCCATGATATTAATCATTACATCAATGGTCCTTTTACTAATTTTTACTAATCCTTTCTAATTTTTAAATCTCTGATAATATAGTGGGCTGTTTGAAAACATCCCTATAAAATCAGTATCTGCCTATATTTCTGAGATGAGGTATTATGTACACTATTTACATTATTCAGACTATTGTCTTCATCTTTGTTGCCATATTTATTACAACGTTTTGGCCTTTGTATGCTCCAACCTTCTTAACACATGGCACAGTGGATAAAGGCATTGGTTAGATCCAGTGACAGGACCCAAAAAGTGTGAGTTCAATACTTGGTTATGGCGGTGAACTTGAAGAAGGGAATTAACAGGAGATAACTGATAACTGACATCCATTAGACATGGCACGTGGAACTAGAACAGTCTACCCCAGTGAGCAAAATAAAGGGTTCAGTTCAACATTCCAACCACCTGAAGAAGACTGGAGTGTACAATGGCCGAAACGTTGTAATAAATATGGTGACAAAGATGAGTACAATAGTACGAATAATGTAAATAGTGTCCCTATAAAATGTTTTTCCTTAATATTTAGCAAGTAGCAAATCAAATTTTCGTGATTAGTCAAGTAGCTTTCTGAATTCCTCTGTCAAGTAATGACAAGGGGTTTCTCGATTTAGACATAAAATTTGTGTGAAGCATATTCAGCTTATTTGTTTAAGGATACAAAAATATGCCATCATATTTTTCCTAATTTTTTCAAGTTTTCAGGCATAAAATCAGTTTTAATTAGTTTAATTATACAATAATGTCTGATTCATCTTTTATTTGTTGCTTGTTTACACCTTCTCATATCAGATATAAGTCTTAAGTTATTTAAATTTCTTAGATAATGCAGTGTCATTGTTATTCATTTTTGGGTGAGTTTTTTTTTTTTTTATCTTTATCATTGCTTTTTGTTGCAACACCCCGGTTGACTCTTAATTAAATAGCTTAGATAAAAGAAAAAAAATTGGTATGTCTTAGTGATAAAAATTGTATATATACAAAAGAAAAAAAAATGCTTAGTACCATGGGGTGTTTGAACACCACACAAAATATTTTCCTCAAGAAGATAAGTTAAGTTTTCATAGTCAAGTAGCTATCTGAATATTTCTGTCATATAAATACAAGAAGATTCTAGATTTAGTCAATAACAGGCACTGACCCTTTTTGAACATTTAATTTCATGAAATTGCTGGAGGTTGATCAAGAGGGATTAAATGTAACTGTCAGAACTGCCCAACAAACAGAATTAACAAGGACACATGGCACAGTGGATAAAGATGTTAGTTAGATCCAGTGACAGGACCCAAAGAGTGTGAGTTCAATACCCGGTTAAGGCAGTGGAGAACTTGGAGAGGGGAATTAACAGGAGATAACTGACATCTATTAGACATGGCACATGGAACTAGAACAATCTACCCCAGTGAATGAAATAAAGGGTTCAGTTTAACATTCCAACAACCTGAAGAAGAGCGTACAACGGCCAAAATGTTGTAATAAATATGGCGACAAAGATGAGGACAATAGTCCGAATAATGCAAATAGAATTGACAAAGTTTGTTATAAATAATAACAAACGAAAGAAAAGAACAGAAAAAATAATACTAAGCAAATTGTATATATACAAAAGAAAAGTAGGCAAAGCAACAATAATAAGACTAAAAGGTTCACAAAGTAAGTATGGTGTTGACACACAAAAGGGATACAGACAATTGTTTGTAGCATTCTGACTTCAAGACAAGAAAGAACAAGAATATGGCAGATGAGACCTAGAAATGGCTGATCTTATTGGCTAGGAAAAAATCCCAGCATGCATCTATATGTTTTGTATACAAATTTGGTGAGAGATGTGTTTGCAGTCATTCCAACAAGGATTGTAACTAAAAATTGTAAAAATATTCTAGGCTAAACTTGTACGACTTTGGCTAATTTCAAGAAATCTACAAGCCAG